ATTGATTCAATTGGAGTCTCGAGGAGGAGGAGTGGAGGACTCTTCGTTTGCCTCTGCTCGTCTGCTCCTCTTCCAGAATTTTCCTTTTGCAAATTTTTTTTTTTTATGGGTCATTGTGTCTGGGCCTCTTTTTTGAGGCCCCTTAAAATATGAAGCCCAAGGCAATGGCCTTGTTTGCCTTGGGCCAGGGCCGGCCCTGCTCTTCCGATCATCCAAGTGTCCAGCATAGTCTCTGTACGTAAAGCCATATATATCTGACATTTCTCCCTTCTTGTAGAACAATCCAAATTCCATCTTTTATTGCAAATATCGAAAAATTAGCTTGACGGCTAGAAGATACATCTCCTTTACGTATACCTGCTAATAAGACTCATGTCATTCATTATGTTAGACCTAGTTGGAGTTAGTTACATCGAACTTCTCACAATCTGCTTATAAAGAGTGTTGAATATAGGGTCTCCAATCACATCAAAACATCGAGCTCAGTTAACTTGCAATCGACACCACAATCAAGACCTAAACTAAAACCCCCAATCCTGGTTGCTTCAAGGTGCCCACGAAGGGCTGAGGGTGAATGTTATTGGTAGCCCCAAACCAGCCACAAAGGCTAAGTGAAGAAGATGGCACAAATCCAAGGAAAGCACAAAGCCAAAGGAACACTACTTTCTCTCTAAAACACACGGCTGCCCCAAACTTTCACACTATGTCACACAAGAAAAAAAGGGGCTGCATATATAAGCCATAATGAGTGGGCTTTAGGTCAAGGAATAGAGGCCCAAAAGATAGCAAGTAAATGGGTTGTCAATCCTAAAGCCGTCCAAGGGTAATAGGTCGGGCCATGAGTAACACTAACACAATTATGTTACTTCAAATGGTCTGAACAAGTTGTAGGAATGATTTGTTCAATTGTGGTGTCGAAGTTTCACTCCACTCATCGGTCAAAGCCTATAAAGTATAATCCAATACAAAAGCACGGTTTAACGTCATCACCCGGATTTATTGGGTATCAAAAAACCCAATAAAGCGAATTTTTAACACTCTTCCCCCAGGAACCTTAATAAGTTTCACACCCATTTCAGTTGGTGTGCTAGCAAAATTGCAATTTTCAAATTGAATATGTCTAAAATTTCTCGATGATACTTCTTTCAAGAAATAAAAATTTCAGCATCAGATTGTAAAACTATACTGATAAAATATTGCATCATTCTAAGATCATACAGAACAAACTCAATCATCGTAGACTACTTAAAAAATTTCTAACATTGCGTGATCATTCCTAGTGTAAATAAAATCATCTACATATAAGCACATCATAAGTAGTTTCCATCCTGCGTCTACACTTTTTACAAAAAGTGTATGCTCATATGGACATTTATAAAAGCTGCGAAAATAATTAATTTTTTTATATTCTCACATCTTACAAATTTACAATATTATTTTCGTGTATGCTCATATGGACATCTTACGCCAAACCGAGCTCTGGTGTCTAAGGTCCGAGTCGAGCCTCCCCTATTCAACATGTTTCTACCTTCATGTAAATTAGCTGTGAAGGCTAATTTGATGTTCTAAAATTAACATTATTTTAAGAAAAGTTATAATAAAACTTCACAAATGTTAAGATCTACGTTGTCGATTTTTAAGCAAGGAAAAGTCACCTTCACAAAAAGCCCAAAAGAATATTATTCTTAATGTTGTTCTTAAAAGAATTAACAAATTTTATAAGTTCATGCCCATTGAAAACTATTATTAATACTTTTTATGAAACAATATAATATATTAACTATCTCTAATTAAATATAATATGAATTTTGAAAGACTAATTTTAAATTAATTTACAAACACTATCATAAATAGCTAAATAATGATAGAATCAAGATTTAACCAAAATGAAGTAAAATATGACATAAATTGCAACACAATGACCATATATACTGTATTGTTTAAGGATAAATTTCAAACCTTCCATAAGGTTTATGACAATCATAAAGACATCCTTTTTTTTTAATTTTAAAAACTATAGAAATATCCCTTATTAGCATAAAGTTTCCATTTCCACTTCCTCCTATGATAGATATAAAATAATATTTTTTTTTCTTATTTATCATTTTCATAAATTATTTGTCATAGTTAAACGTGCGATGAACGATATTCTGAAATGTTTTATAGGTTCTACGAAAATAATGTTGTAAATTTGTAAGATGTTAGAATATAAAAATAATTAATACAAATTGTCTATATGGAATGAACTTTTGATTCAAACGAAATAAAAATTAGTTTGTGAACAATTTAAATAATTGAGGAAGTCAATTAGAATAGTCTCTTCATTTACCCTTTTAATATGAACTGAATATCCAACGAATACCATCATTTCTTCATATTCGCTTAATATGCATTGAATATATCAATTGAAATTATTTATTATAGATACGCATTATGGAACACTTCATTGAATAA